TTGACCAAATCATTTCAAGTTGGAAGACCCACCCTAAATCTGAGCCACACCTTCTCATAGTGTGGCTTATATAGGCTTTATATAGGCTTATATAAAGGACAAGCTCATATAAAGAAAGAAGCTTTTGCTTTTCACCTGCTTGCCCTCATTCTCCTTGGCAAGTTCATATATCCTGCTGCTGAGTCATTGCTTCACTGGTGTTAGAAACCTAGTTCTTTGGGTCTCCAATGTATACTGAAGACCAGCTGAGACATCTAGCCTCATGAACTGAAGAACTACTGGATTCTTGGACTTTTTGTCAGGAGACAGTCACTGTTGAACTAGCTGAACCACAACCTGTAAGGAACTCTTATAGATCATCCCCTCTTTAGACACATAGGTAGGTAGGTAGGTGGGTGGGTGGGTGGGTGGGTACGTACGTACGTACATACATACATACATACATACATACGTACATACATAGGTTCATTCATTCTATCTGTTCTATTCCTCTAGAGAACCCTGACTAATATGTACCATCAACCTGACTAGTATGTACCACCACTCATGGCTCCCCATTGGTTTTAAGCCTGCCCTGCCTTGGTGAACAGTCAGTCCCTGAAACACTCAAAACACACATCTTGAATGTGCCAGATGACTGATAAAGCCATATCAATTTGGCCTTCACTATTCCATTTACTACATGGGCTTTTCTCTCAGTAATTAGACTCTGTGTATTTATACATGAAGACTCATGTAATTCCCCATGGAAAATTCTTAACCCCAAGCTGTTTCTAAATTCTGCCACCTATGTGTACAAACTGTATGTAATAGTAATGTCTATTAATTAAGAAGGCAAATGTTACTAAAAATTACTGGCACATAGAATGCAAAGCCAAGCCGAATTTGGGGTTTGTAGCTTATCTATTTATAATCTCCCTTTTCTTTAGACTAAAGGCTGTGTAAATTATTAAGAGTTTTGCATAAAGACTGTATAAATTATTATGAGTAAGACTGGAACAATATAAAAGACTGTACCTACTCTACAATTTTCTCCAGGATGCCCACACAATTTTAAGTGCTGTAACAAATGAAATTTCCCTTTCTTCCAATTTTTATTAATTGGAAGAAATCTGGCTCAAATAATAAAAATAACTTTTTATGTCAATATCAGTTTATTTTTAAATTCCATTTGAGATTCAGAAAGAGGAGAGAGAGAGAGAGAGAGAGAGAGAGAGAGAGAGAGAGAGACAGAGACAGAGAGAGACAGAGAGAAAGAGACAGAGAGAAAGAGACAGAGAGACAAAGGACAGGGCTGGAGAGAGGACTCAGTGGTTAAGAGCAATCAATGGTTGCTTGTCCAGAAGACCTGGGTTAATTACCAGCACACACATAGGGGCTCACAACCATCTATAACTCCAGTCAGAGAGGATTTGATGCCTTCTGGCCTATGTTACTGCACGAAGAAAACACCCATACACACAAAATAAAAATGCAAAATAATAAAAATAATTTTTTAAAAGTCAAAGGTCATGAATCAAGTTCAAAGACCTGGAAAGATTTGATTTTTTTTTTAATATGATGAGTATTTTGCATGTACATATGTCTGTGCACCACTTACATGCCTGGTGCAGAAGAGGTCAGAATACATTGAATCTGCTAGAATTAAAAGTATAGTTGTTAGCCACCACGTGGAAATGAAACCTAGATCTTCTGGAGTAGTAGCCAGAACTCTTACCACTGAGTCATCTCTCCAGTCCCAAGATTTAATGTATTATTCTTTGTTTTAAAAACTGATGGCAGCTTGATTTCAAACAGTGTTGCAGAAATGTTGAACAGGAAAGCATTAGTTTCTTCAGGAATCTGTTCTCCTGCAGATGGTCATACTACAGATTCATCCAGATACATCCCAAGAAAACAAGGCTTGAGTCATGGGCAAAACAACCTAAGTAACATTGCAAGAGGCTTGCTCACTCCCCTACTCATAGAAAAATAAAGCCTGCAGATAAGCAGTCAGCCATTATTAGAGACCTGTAACTGGGGTTTTCAACCTCAGGACTTCAGACATTCTATGACACACCCTAAGTTGGGGAGGTCCTAGTCATTACTGGATACTTCATTTTATTCCTGGCCTTAATATAATAGATACTAGTAGCCAAGGTCATTAAAAGTTCCTCAGAAGCAAAATTGCCTAGGTTAAGAACTTACCTAAATAAACAATTACCATTATGATATGGTAAGCCTGTCTTACCTAGAATACCTACAAACTTATTCCTCAAAAGATACCTATGAAATATACTGGCTTTATGAAGTAAACTTTCCTTTAAAACTATAAATATGTGACAACTCCCAAAGTGATTATCATTAGGTGAAACTGAGGAGAACATGGATGAAAATGTTGCCAGAGTTAAGAAAGGCTGCCACAAAATTGCCTAACTTGAATTCCCTCTTGAGATAGCCTCTGTAGAGGAACATGCTCATTTATTCTCCCTGAGACGTAGATGGAAAGTGTTACAGTCCCATGACATGTCACCTGACTAAATGGAAAAAAGACAAGTAAACCACCCTAACCAGACAGAAAACTGAGAGCAAGAACACAAAGAGGTCAAGCTCCCTTGATTATATGCAGACTGTAGGTGAGCTTCACACCTCTCCAACACTGTTCACACCGTGGTTTTTCAGCCCTATCACTCACTAATCCCTTTACATGTTCAACGTTTCGACATTATACGTCTAAGTACAAAGTACAAATTTTCAATGCTTTAACTGCAATATAAAGGATCACAAGACTTTAAGGCAAGATGATACTAGGAGACAAGAATCTTTCCCCACATGCATTTCCAAAGTGCACCCCCACATAATTACAATTTCTGTTCTTCCTAAACCCTCCATTGTCAGCTACAATGATCAATAACCTCTACCTATCAGAAATTTGTTCCAAAGGCAGTATTACAAAGGTGAAATAGAGGGATCTTCTCAAATCATTCCACATAAGATAAAACTACTTTGCTACTTAACTGCTATGGAACTCAACAGAATCTATTTTTTCATTTATTGAAGGAGGATATTTATTAGGGTTTTTGGTAAAAATTTAGTATGTAGACTATCTCTCTGCATCTAAAACATTCTTGATGTGAGTTGTAAGAACTATACTATCATTCCAGAATCTACCTCATACTGATTTCCTACTTACTGTTTATCTTATTCTGCTAACAAAAGGGATGAATATCTAGATTCATATACAATATTAAGTTCGCCATATGATTTTTAAGATTATTTTTAATCAGGGCCTGGTGAGCAGGAAGATTCTAAGTTCAAAGCCAAAGACAGTAAGATCCTGTCTCAAAATAAAGTATTAAAAGAAGTGATGAGGATTTAAGTATAGCACTTGTCTAGCGTGTAAGACCCTCAACACACACACAAACACACACACACTCTCACACATTTTTTTTTTTTATTATAAAACATTTTCCTGCATTGAGGTTGTTTTTTTCAGTTTCTGAGGTCCCTTTGTCCAGTTGGCTCAACAGCTTTATATATCATAAAAGGCAGAAAGAGAACCTTGAACTCAGGTCATAATAAAAATGTATTATGAAAACCTACGTCTAGTCTTTTTTTTTTTTTTAAACTTCTTAGCCCTAGTTTTCTCAACTATAGTTGAGAAAGATGATAGCCTTTCTAGAGAAAGCACTTTTATGCAATCTCTATGCTATCTTTAGAAAATGACTTGTCAAAGATCATTTGTATCTGTTCAAATTCCTTACTGCAATTAAGTTGAACAAAATCTCCATTCTACTGTACCAGGAAGTCACCAATGGGTATGATGACAGCAAGAGAAATCACTCAGAACAAAAAGGATTCCAAATATACTAAATGAATGTAAGTCCTAATCAGACTTAGTAGTTTATTAACTTTCACCCCAAATAAGTACAAGTTCTTACAGGAAGAAATATTCTACTTCTGTATGGGAATTCAGCATTTATATACACGCCCAGCTATATTAGAGGAAAGCCAGCAACTTCCCATCGTAGGAACCATTCTCCATTAACCATCCAATATGCCAACAGCAACTGTCTCTTGGTAACAGATTGTTGCAAGGAGGGGGTAAAGGGGGATGGAGAGATTAGACTCCTTTTATTTAGTTTCCAACATTTTAAAACATAATTCTCTTGCAATAAAAATTTGAATAAGGCTATTTATTACCTACTGAAAATTCATGAAATTTGGACAAGATCTATTTTCAGTGGACTTTTCATTAGGCTCTGTAGACTAACAAGTATTTGTCTCTCATCTGCACTATACAGAGTTCAAGGCCAGCTCCAGCTTCCTAAAGTGTTCATGACATCCTGGATACTTAGTGATATGCTGTCTCAAAGAGCCCAGCATGATGGCGCACTTAGGAGATTGAAGGAGGAGGATTGCTAGTTCAAGACCATCCTAGACTACACTGACAGCTTCTGCCCCCAAAACAAAACAAGCTTGTGGTTACTCCTTTGTTTAATCCCAGCGCTCAGGAGACAGAAGCAAGTCAATCTCTTAGAATTCCAGGCCAGCCTGATCTACATAGCAAGTTACAGGCTAGCCTGGACTACATAATGAGTGCCTGTCTCCAAAACCAACCAAAAAAAAAACAAAAACAAACAAACAAACAAAAATCCCAGCACTAGAAGGTAAAGGGAGGAAAATTACTAAAAGTTCAAGGCCAAGTGTACCTGCTGAGTTCCAGGCCACCCTGAGTTACACGGGCTGCCATTGTTTCAGAAACAAAACAAAAGCAATTGCTCCAGTGGTAGGAGCAGGAAGAGCTAAGAGCCATCAGCAACAACGGCTGTAAAAAAGATTCTCCAGGACTTTCGTAAGTTCTACATTTACCGTATTCATCCTTTTAGTCACCCTGATCATTAGTTCCAGCTTTAAAAAGGGGACAGAGAACGCTCAGCTTTGAGCAGAAGCGAGCATCAGAGAGGAAATGGCCCCATGACTCAGAGCCTTCTGACTAAGAGTGAAGGGATGGGACTCACCAACTTGAGAAGGTCGGTACTAGGCATCTTCCTCTGCGGCTGGCCGGCTCCTCGGGGCTCCTCTGCTTCTGCGTCTGAAAAGGGGAAACGCATCATCTGTTTACTCTAAGACTTGCTGAAGTCACCACTCTGCGGCATCTGCCGCCTGCCTGGCCCCTTGGAAGGTTCGGGATTTCCCTGCGGGGGTCTGTCAGCACCCCGTTGGAACCGAACACCAGAATCCTGGGGAACAGAAGCCGGCGGAGTGCACGCGGGGGACACGCCCCTTCCCCGGGCCCACGGCTCCACCGCCTCCCCGCGAGCCAGACTTGGGGTTCCCCAGGCCGACCTGCCTCCTCCCCCTCTCAGCACCCCGAAAGCGAGTGCTGAGCATCTGAACCCTGGCGCCACTTCTCAGCCCTGGCCACAAACTCCCGCCTGGGTCTCCCCCACGCCACAGCTGGGAACCCAACCCCTCAGCCTGGTTCCCCATCCATAGGGACCCAAACCCCTCAGACCAGGCCCGGCTCCCCATAACCCAGATCCTCCTCAGCCCGGATCCCTCTCCGCCTGAGTCCCGCTCCCCTTAGCCCGGCTCTCCCTCAGCCTGGTTCCCCCTCAGCCTGGGCCCTGTTCCCCTCAAACCGGCTTCCCCTCAGCCCAGGACAGTCTCCCCTCAGCCTAGCTCTCTCTCAGCCCGGGTCCTGCTCCCCTCAGCCCAGCTCCCCCTCAGCCCGGGCTCTGCTTCCCTCAGCCCGGGTCCTACTCTCCTCAGCTTGGACCCTGCTCCCCCTCAGCCCGCTCCCCTTCAGCCCAGGACCCTCTCTCCTCATCCCTGCTCCTCTATACCCGGCTCCCCTCAGCCCGGGCCCTGCTCCCCTCGGCCCAGCTCCCCCTGATCTACAGCCCCGCTCCCCTGCTCCCCTGAGCGCGCTCCCCACAGCCCGTTCCCCCTCGGGCCCCCAACCACAGCTCGGCCTCCCTCCGGTCCCTCCAGCTCCTCCCGGCTCCCCACAGCTCCAGCCCGGCTCCAGCCCGGCGCAGCGGCTCCACCTCAAGCCGTGGACCCGCGCCTTCCTCCCCGCAGAGGCTCAGCTGGCCGCCGCCCACCTCCCGCGCCTCGGCTGTGCGAGCGACTCCCTCGCCGCTCGCCGGACCCGGGTTCCCGCTTCCGCCGCCGCCGCACAGATTGGAGGTGCGCCGCCGCCGGCCCCGCCCCTCCCGGAAATGGCCTTGGGGTACCCGCCCGCCTCCAGGAGCCCCGGGCGTGCGCGGCCTCGTCGCTGTAGGGCGCGCGCACGTCCGACGCTGCGCGGGGCTCGCCCTGCCGCACTCCGCCCACGGACTGCCGGGGCTCGGGTGATGGGGAGCCGGGGTGCGGCGTCGGGGGGACCCAGGCGGGAGTTTGTGGCCAGGCCTGAGTAGTGGCGCCAGAGTTCAGCGGCTCGGCGGCGAGGTTCGGGGCGCCGAGAGTCGTGTAGGCGTGCGCGCCGCCTGCTGGCGGGGCAGGGGCTGGGTGTAAGCCGGATGGGGAGTCTAGGGGGGTGTCGCGTAGAGCCAGTCACTGGCCCTGTTGGTTTACAACTTCTTCAAGCCACTCTTTTTATTTGTCTTTTGTTGCTGTTGCTTGTTTGTTGTCGTTTTATGATGCAGGCTTTTTATACGAAGTTGCCTAGGCTGGCTTTGAGCTCTCTCTGTAGGGCAGTTTTCTCTGTGTATTCTCCCACCTCACTGCAGCCTTCCAAAAAGCTAGACATCTCTCTGACAGTTCTTTGTTTCGTTTTCAGCCAAGTTCTGATGTAGGCCATGCTGGCCTCAAACTGGTCATGTGTCTTAGGATAACTGTCAACTCACAATCTTCCTGCCTGCCACCTCCCAAATGTTGAGATACAATGTAGAGGTGTACCATGCTTAGCAGTTTGGGGAATGGTTAATGTTTATTCGTTTGAGAAAGGGTCTCACTCTGTCGTGTGAGCTTTAGACTGGCCTTGAGCTTGAATCAATCCTCCTGCCTCAAGCTCCCGAGTACTGAAGTTATATCCAGAAAAAGTTAGTTGTTTGAAGGCACTGGGGAGGGAGGCTGGTTCCCAGCACCTACTTAAGATGGCTCCCAACCACTACTCTGGGTCCATGGAGTCTGACATTGTCGTCTGGCCTCTGAGGGCATACACACACACACACACACACACACACACTACTGACACATAAATAAAAATAAATGTTTGAAATAACTATCTTGAACCTGGTGTGGTGGTTTGTTCCTGTAATCCCAGCATTCAAGAGGCTGAGGCAGGAACACTGCTACAATTTTGAGGCTATCCAGGGCTTCAGAACAAGACCCTTACTCCCCAACCGGCACCCCCTGCATTCTGAACACAGTTGGTCACTTCTAGCCAGTGTCTGCAGACAAGACTGATCTAAGCAACCACCTGACCTGGTCTTTAAAGACAGAGCTTTGAGATTTTTACCGAGTGTTTTAGGGTTTCTATTGCTATGATAAAACACCATGACCAAAGAGACTTGGGGAAGAAAGGGTTTATTTGGTTTACATTTCCAGAGCACTGTTCATCATCAAAGGAAGTCAGGGCAGGAACTCAAGCTGGGCAGAAACCTGGAGGCAGGAGCTGATGCAAATGCCATGAGGAAGTAATTCTTACTGCCTTGCTCCCCATGGCTGGCTCAGCCTGCTGTATTATAGAACCCAGGACCACCAGCCCAGGCATAGCACCACCCACAATGGGCCAGACCCTTCCCCATCAATCCCTAATTAAGAAAATGCCCTATAGGCTTTCCCGTAGCCTGAATCTCATAGAAGCCTTTTCTTTTCTTTTTAAAATATATTTATTGTTTCATTTTTTAAGATTATTTTATTTATATGAGTACACTGTAGCTGTGGGAATTGAACTCAGGACCTCTGGAAGAGCAGTCAGTGCTTTTAACCGCTGAGCCATCTCTCCAGCCCCTCTTTAGCTTGTGTTACGTTCACTGAGTAAGTAAGGGATTGACCACCCTTGATCTCTTTTCTGTGTTCAAAACTTGACTTTCCATCAAGGTTAAAGATGTCTGATGAAAAACAGCATGTCAACTTGGTTAATGGAAATAATACCACCCTAACTTTCACACCCCCAAAGGAAATAAACAGAGGGCAAATGGTACAAATACTGGGCAGAAATGGTATTTTCAGAAGCAAAGCTGGGAATCACTACAATTCAAGTGGAAGGGTCCATGGGGTCACAAAGGTTACCCTTCACACCAGATTGGAAAAAAACAAAACAAAACCGCCTCTCAAATATGTATGACTACACTTCTGTGCTAGAGCAGGTGACAGCACAGTTAGAACAGTGACAACCAACTCCACCCCCTTGTAAATGGTGATCCTCAAGTGAGGGTGTGCTTAGCAATGCCATCCTCATCTCCATCTGGTGTGTCTGGGATGGGACATTGTGCCTCCTCTGCACCCCGTGGCAGCACCCAATCTCCCTCTCACAGCAGGTAAGACCCTGAAGAAATCTGGCAGGTTGCTGGGGCCCTCCTCACCCTTACACACCCAAAAGCCCCAGACCATCCAGATCCCCTGAGGCAGCCCCTGATGGACATACACCCCTTCCAATGCCTGCTCTTCAAGAGTTACATAAGACCCGACCTGAATACTCCGGACTTCTTCAGATCAGAGGGAGTGTCTCCAGCCCGCTCCTTAGCTGCCAGGTACATATAGAATTATTTAATACTGAAGAATCCCCCCTCCCGTGTGTGTACACGTGTGTGGCTGTGCATGCTATGCACATGTGCGGAAGCTTGCAGAGGATGTGTGGATAGTCAGGACCCAGTGATTACCTGTTTGAGCCTCCTACCCCAACCCCAACACTGCTGAGCATGGCTCTGCATGGCTTTTCACGTGGTGCTGGGGAATCGAACCGATGTCCTCTTACCTGTACCTGCTAAGCAATCTCCCTAGCCCCTCATTCCTGAATCTAGAATACATGCACCCAGGTGACTAGAAGGCAATGTCTGACCCCCCACAGGCATCCGATCCTTCCCAGAAATACAAACTAGGTCTACCATTTTGACTGATCTTTTCTTTGGCAAGAACTATATATACTATGGTACATGTTTCTATGTACATGCCCATTTTGTGTCCTGGCTTGCCCAGGTCCCTTGACTCTTAATCCCTCCTTTGCAACTGACGAGTAAGGGCACTGTGACCTGAGAGGATGACATCTTCCAAAAACACTCAAGGGGAAGTGGAGCTTAGCTGGAAAGCCAAGGCTTCAGACTTCAAGGGAACCTGGGGGAAACTTGTTAATTAACGACAAAGAGTGAGAGGGGCCTCGAGCTATTTGTCTGATGGATTCTACAGAGCACACACACAACAAAACTGTGGCTGGAGAGAGCTGTAACTCCTGGCACTTCTCAGCAGACTGGAGACTACAAAACAGGTCTAGGCTTGCAGCCTCTGATTCTTGACTGGTGCTTTTGTAATATCTCTCTCTCTCTCTCTCTCTCTCTCTCTCTCTCTCTCTCTCTCTCT